AATGTTGCCCCCACTCATCTTCAGAGTGCAAAACATTGTGGAAGAAGATATTTATGAATCAAAGTAAAACTGTGGGCGCGGAGAGTTGTGATCTCCCTCAAACTTAATAATATTTTTGTCTCCCTGCGAAATTCTCAGTTAACATACGGATAGATCATAGGCATATATGTAAAAACCCAGAAATAAGAACCATTTTTTTTAAGATAAAAACCAGATATCTGAACCAATAGAAGACTGTCAGCATAATCATAGGAATTTTAAGTACCATCATATTAGAACCAAGATTGCAGTCCCACTGTGGAACAATATGACTTAGACTATAATCTAGTAACTTCCAAGAATTGCAAAACTTTAAGGAGAAAAATGAAGATGAAATGCCTCACTCGAAGTATGACTGAGTGTTACCTAATTATATATTATCAAGGGATTCTCATGACATCTTCCCATTAAAAAGCAAAAAACTTACTACATAAGCTTCATATATACGCTCTGAATGATGGGGACGAATGAAATCATCATCAATGGCATGCCCAAATAAAACTGGAACGAAGCAAGATTTTGCCACCTATAATGTAATGGTAAAAATAGTTAATATGCCATCTCTTTCATACATAACAGAAAACACAAAAGGTACATAGTGAACATAACTGCAGAAAATTATTTTGTTCTTATATTATCAATAACTCATCAGCTAAAAACTCAGTTTCTTATCAGTTCTTTGGAATACCAGTTTCTCTTGAAGTTGAAATCTCCATTTGGGTTACAATTCTAAGGGCAAATTACATAAAAACCCACTTATTTTCATTAATGTCTCAAATCACAACCTACATTACCCATTGCATCTTTTGAAGGACCTATAGTCTTTTAAATATCTCAATGTACATAGTTAATATAACGTCTCTTTCATTAATAACAGAAAACACTAAAGATACATAGTGAAATAACTGCAGAAAATTATTTTGTTCCTATGTTATCAATAACCCATCAGCTAAAACTCAAGTTTCTTATAAGTTCTTTGGAATACCAGTCTCTCTCAAAAGTTAAAATATTCATTTGGGTTACAATTCTAAGGACAAATTACATAAAAACCCACGTATTTTCACTGATGTATCAAATCAGAACCTACATTACCCATTGCATCCTCTTAAGGACCTATAGTTTTTTAAATATCTTAAATTAGGACATAACATGCTCTTCTTTTTTTTGTGGTCTTTTCTCTCCTATCTCATAATATTTCTTTTATAGTAAAAAGAAAAAATTCAATCCAATAAAATATGCTAACCATTGACTGTTACACCCTCCATACATTTAGATAAAGTGATCGAATAAGCTTGATCATCATTTTCTAATAAACAATGATTAGAAGATGCATAGAGTATGCGAAAATTGATTATCAGCATTATGTATTAGAAACATGACTATAAGGTCCTAGCTCATGATATATAAGAAGTCCTAAGAAAATATATCTGAAGTGTCAGTTCTCAGCATAATTTATTAATGAATAACTGCTAGGTCATGTTTTCAAATATATATTCTTTAAACTAGGTCCTGAAAGAAAATATATCTGAAGTGTCAGTTCCCAGCATAATTTATTAATGAGTTACTGCTAGGTCATGTTTTAAAATATATTTTTTTTTTAAAATAAAAAGTGTAAAGTATTATTCACAAAGTACCAAAAACAGGAGTACCACCCATGTACAAAATCTCTACAAAAAAGTTAGAACATCAATGACTTCTCTAAAATTCTCATCATTAATGATGTCATGACCAAACACAATTGTCCCAAACAAGTGTATCCATCTATCCACTAATCTATTAGAACTACTCTCTATGCTATCAAAAACCCTTCTATTCTGCTCTTTCCAAATAACCCAAAAAACAGTCAAAGGGATAAGATTAGTAATGTTTTAAAATATATATTCTTTAAACTAGGTCCTGAAAAGATGCAACTAGAAGTGTATGTCCAACACTGGTAAAAGTAGAAGGCATTTTTCTGTAATTTATCCTAATAAAAACTGGCTTGTTACATTTGAAAGACTAGATAGCTACTCCTCTCCAAGTATCTATATGATGTATCTTTGGATTTGAGAAAAATAATCATTTGCTCAAATGTTGTTACGTGCCATGACAAATATGGTGCAAGTTTTTTACAATCTCTGGTCAGTTGCCGGTCTATCCTCCTACTATGGAGGTTTCTTTCCCACTTATATGAAAGTTAGGATATGAAGGACGGTGCTTAATGTGCCACCAGGTGTGGATGTCTTTGCTGGGTGTTGGATTTATGATTGGGATGCAATGCAAAGACCTTGTCAGCACATGCAATATCCTCATCCAATCCTCTTTGAGGGCTACAGCACAAGTTCTTCAGGGATATATCCTCTAGATTGCAAAAGAATTGGATGCCCTTTTATTATGAACTATCCTCAATTTCCTTTCTTATTTTATATTTGGCTTCTTTGTTCTGGGAAGATATCTTACCTCCTGTCTGTATCCTCTCCCTCTTAATATATTCTCCTTCTTTCTTATTGAAAAAATTAGTATAATCACTTCCCTGCACATCTCTTAATTTCCTCTCTCTTAATATATTGACTTTCCTTTCTTACAGGACAGACTTGGCAGGTTTTTTGCGTGCAATCAGCCAATACCAAAAACATAGAGAAAAAAACCATTTGAAACTTTTTATTAAAAGAGTACCTTTATCGTGTTCAGGTCCATTATATCAAACTTTGCCTTCTTCTGGATAACTTTCCGCATGTATTGAATTGCAAATTTGACCTACAAAAGGCAAAAGGAAAAGTTAACAATCATGGGACAACCATAGGTATGGTTTCAAATTAGTATAAATTGTTTAAAGACTTAGACGTGAGGCATAAACCAAAAACACATTCCAACCACTACTTACATACTTGATTCCAATGGTTCAAGAAATAAAAGAATACAGAGGAGAAATAACTGATTCTCAAGGAAAGACACCTATCAAGAAAATAGAGCAAAAAAAGCATACAACTAAGGTTCACAAATAGAACAAAAGAGATAAATTCTTGTTTTTTGGCGGGATAGAACAGTAAAAGGCAGAAAAGGGTGATGTCCATGTACACGAGAATTTCTTACAAAAGCATGCAAAGACAACAAGTTTCTAATACTTCAGCATGGCTATCTATGGGTTGGATACTATTAACATCAATACCATAAGAAAAATGAAAAGTTTCTAATACTTACAGTGAACTTTGGCAAACGGAATTTGTAAGTGTCAACAAGTTCCATCATCAAGTCAACCAAATCAGAGAATGGACTATCAAGAACCATTCCTGCAATTGAGGGATCCTCAGCTCCATACATGAGGCTGCACAGAAGTTAAGGGCAGACAAACAAGCAGAAGGTCCTCAGACCAAATCACCATTTACTTTTATTAGGTACCCAAAGAATAGGAAAAAGCATGCAAAGACAAAACTCAAGCCTGGGATCGTATAAGCTATGGTTAGGTTTCGCATATGAAAGATCCCCAGGAATGAAAATACATACGGGAACATGTCAACTATTTCTTGGAACTCTCCTGAAACTTGTTACTTAAGCACAAATGAATAGAATGTCTGCATGCATAATATTCAGCAAATACAAGAAGATGATAGAAAGAACATGAAGAGACCTAGTAACTGCACCCATTGAACGGCCCCATAAACCAATAAAAGAGACATTTCCATCTGCGCGTAAATAATCGACTACAGCCCTCAGATCATCCTTCTGAAAAACACCCAACAAACATTAGGTGGGAAGTCAACAATGAATAACACCAGTCATTAACATAACAATTATATCTGCTGCAAAAAAAAATCATATACTTAATAAAAAATGAACAACATAAAAATGCATCTCCATGCGGATGAATTAGATCAATGTAGAATGGCACGAAGGGAAGAAAGAATTTATTTTTGACAAAAGAAGGAAGTACTAACAAAAGAGCATGAAGAGAGGACTAGAGAGGAGGATAAAAAAGAAACAAAAAACTAACAAATCTTCAACACAAAATACCTGCTTAATACCTTCGCAAAATAGCAAGAGACAAACCAACCCCTCCCTCCGCTCTCTAAAGCATCAGGGAAGATAGAGATTGGAAATAGTCTCTAAAGGCTTTAGCATTCCTTGCCCTAGTTATAGTCATGGTTTCAAAACTTGCAGACATAATGTAAATAAACTCTTTAGGACTTCCTCTTACAATGCTAGATCCATATCCAAGTAACAAAAATCAAAAGCAACATATCGACGTCACAACAACAAATACACTAAATGTGTGGGATTACAAAAATAGGATTCCAAATGCAATTACAACAACTAGTAATTTCATAGACTAACAAGTAATGACCGTGTTAATCAATACAAGAATAGTATCATTGTCTTAGTAGCGGATTAAGAAAAGAATATTACAAAATTTTAGAAGAAAAACTAATTCTGGATAAGATCTCAAATTAAAACTATTTTAGCATTAAAGAAATTCTTGTAATAATAATTACTATTATTACTATTAGTATCTTTAATTTATTTAGCCGATTTAGGTAGTTTGTAAGCCTCATTTGAAATTAGAAATTTTTGGTTCTCTTTACTACTGATATTTCCTATTAGTTTTAATTAGTGCCTATATAATGGCAACTACCCTAAAGTTAATACTGAACAATTTGGAACTGAGAACTATTTCGCTAGGTTTTATTTATTTCTCTCTCTTTAGTCTTCCCATGATTCCTGTTTCTCTGGGCCTATCTCTTCCTATATTCTTTCACCTTAGTAACCAAGTTTCCTCTTGTTGTTCTCTATTCTTCTATTCTCAGGGGCCTATTCTTCCAATTTCTATACTACAATTGGAAAAGTTGGTTTTACTCCCTACTTGTCCTACATCAATCAGTTAATGAGGCACTTACTTCATGCCACCCAAGAGAAACATGCTCTCCACCAGAGAGTCCAGAGCCTGCAAAATCGAGGGTGAAAACTGTAATGTTTGAAGGTAATAAGATGATAGCAGCTTCACTGGCATCAGCCCTGCATCCACTGCGAAAGATCAAGATATACTACTGCCATCAGTAAAGAAAAACTTGGGTTATAAAAGCCTTAAATTTAAGAGCCAACCAAGACAAAAAGAGAAACGCCATGTAGTTTGACATCATCCAATGGTTAGAATTAGATAGTAACTCTGTAGTTGATATTCCACTAGTCCTGAGCGATTAGCAAGAAGAGCTACAGTGAACTGCTAAAGGTTTAGATCAAATCGTCAATTGAAATTAAGACTACGATAATGTTACTGGTGTAGGTGATGACAATTAATTATTTAAATAGTAGGCCTGTAACCAAAGGAAATATAAGACATAGCCAACAAATTCCACCATTTTGTGAGAGCTAATGAAATTTTATAACTAGTACACCAGTACAAACCCCATATCTCACATCCGTACAGCAGTATTTAGATTTTTAGTATATGTTTATGCCACTAACTTAACACAACGTAGCTAACACTTTGATTATAGGCTATGGTTTCCAGTACAACCAATCAAATGTGTCAATTCACCTGTTTCCATGGCAGTATATTACACAAGGCAAAGCCTTTTCTTCAGGACTTACAAGGGGCAGATAGTGGCTACACTGAAGAATATCTCCTCGACCATTTTTAACCTGCAGAATATTTAAAGCATGTATATGTAAGGCAGGAAAATCAATTAGAACTCTAAATTTCCATACAAGTATGAAGTAGTTAACATGTGCTAGATGATGTACATGATGGAACGGTCAAACTGAAGAGGAGGGCAGTTTTTATGAACTAGGGTTTCCAACTGAGAAGTTATGTGTCAAGACACCAGTAATTGATAGTACAAACAAATTCAGTACAATTGTTTATGCAACAAGAAGATCACTAGATTATCCAATGCTCCATGGAAGAAAATGTGAATCTCTACCAAGTCACAACAACACTTGCCTCGTCATACCAACTCACCTTCATTTCTTAATATTATTGTTTGTCCCCTATGCCTAATTAGTACCAGTTGAAACATGTTCCTTCATGCCTCTTTAGCACTAAATGAGACGTATAAGTTCATGCTTGAAATGGGGTATATAGCTGACAAGTAGATTATTGAGGTTGTCTTTCCCCACACTAGGAATCATGTCTGCAATCCAAGCAGGATCCTGATCTTGCAGCAGTTCGATTCAGTGCTACAAAAATGCACAAGCGTGTATTACAGTTTCTCCACCAATATATAGGCACACACCTACTTAGGATTTCTGATAAGCAAATCTTTGAAGGAAATGTGAGTTCCTCAATATGCTAAATGATTGAGTATAACTTAGATGAACTGACCTGCACCTTTCTGGTAAGGAGGACTAAGATACTAAAGGTTCTAATTTCCAAAGTAAACATTATAGAGGCACTAGTTAATTTGTTACGGCTTCATGCCTCACCAAATCACAAACTGCTATAAGAAAACAGGGTTCTAGGATTTCGATCAAACATAGAAATAGCAAAATTCATTGCACAATTAACTGAAAGAAGTACATTGTCATCAATTTTTCTATTTTCTGTAGTTATAGACAAGAAAATAGCAATAAGTGCTATTGCTAGAGAGCATAATATTTACTAAGTTTTTTCTATTCATTTTTTTATATATATACATCTCAATCCATTATACTTAGCTGTTTATAACCACAAAAGCAGTGATCATTAAATTTTCTAGAGCAAGTTTATCAACCAAGTCTAGTAAATACAAATAACTAAAAAATGAGAAGGCAAATAAATCCAGAAACATTCTTCCATGCATATATAATTGTAAAGCTCACCTCTATATCCTTCCTTTGATACCATTTCCCTTTCAGCATGAACTCCTGATCTAAAAGATCATTGTTAGGACTGTATTCAGCTCTGCATTCCAAAAGAGAATTACTCATGATCTTGTGGCGAGTGAAGTATGAATTTTATTGAATAATAGGACCCCATATACACAAGTTTTATGAAAGATAAAAAGAAAACATTATTAATTACTCGAGAGAGGTATATTACTAATATATCATTTACCCTACTTACTACACAAATACACTTCCCAACAGATCTCTTAATTCATGAACACATACTTCAAATACTAAAATTGAATGCCTATCCAATAGATAAATGAAATAATGGAAGCCTGGTCAATTCAGAATCATAACTTCCTTAGATACCCATCATGCTGTCTAAGAAGTTAGAGTGTCATGACAGGTGCAAATCTAAAATATTGCAATCCGTGATGCATAATGGATTAGCTATAGATACCTAAATAGATTAGAGTATGGTTTTATTAAATATAAAGCTACTGCATTATTTAGAAGTCTATTATTTTAGTTTTAGTAAGTTAAGATTTTAAATTTATTAGTCTTTATTTTTTTGAAATAAAAAGTGGTTAGTATGTATTAACACAGTACCAAGAGAGTATCATTCATATACAAAAGATTTACAATTGTGTTAAAGTATCAATGACATTTCCAAAATCCTCATCCCCCCTAATGGGACGACCCAACAAAATGGATCCAAAATAATAAAATTATCTATCTCTAATCCTATGTGTCTCATTGTCATTGCCCTCAAGAGCCCTACGATTCCTTCTATAGTATTCAAAAAATTGTTAATAGAATCAACTTTACAAACTTTCTTTTACTACAAACCCCGTCACAAGCCCAAATCTCATCTTTTATAGTACCTGCCATCACCCAATTAATCTCTATGAGACCATAGATCATTGTACATAATTCATATGCCATAGGGCACCAAAGAAGGATATGGTTATAGGATTTCATTGCTTTCTTGCATAAATAACACCCATTAACCATGATTTTGCCTCTTGTCATCAACTTGTCGATCATCAAAATGCATTGTCGGCTTGTTTCCCAGGCAAAGAAAGCAATTCTTGGAGGCACCTTCACTTTCAAATCTGATAAGCCGGGAAATTGGGCACTCTATCAATCTCACATTTCATCAAGTAATTACAGTAAGACTTAAACAGTGAATTCATCATTTTGTTTAAGCTTCCACACAACCTGATCCCTGTTAGTATTGACTTGTTTCATGGCTCGTAGCTGCAGCAATTCTTCATACTCACCCACTTCCCAATCGTTCAAATTTCTGGTCACATTTATAATCCATTCCCTAATACCAATATAATCTCTATAAGCATCTTCAATAACCATGTTTTTCGATTGTGCAATGGCAAATATCCTCAGGAACTGCCTTTTGAGACACCTCCCCCTCCACCCACTCATCAAGCCAAAATCGGATTCTATTGTCTCTGCCTAACCTCCAATTAATGCACCTGAGGAATCTAAGCCAGTCCATCTGAATCTTATTATTTCTAATAGTATTAGTAATATTATTTCTAATCTTATTAGAACTAGTGTTTCCTATCTTGTTAGGAATAGTATTTCTAATTTGATTAGTGTTAGCATTTGTTAGTTAATCGTACTAAGGAAAGACTAATTTGGCACTCTATAAATACCATCATAATCTCCTTAAGATTATTATTCACAAATTCAAGAACATACTGTAAAAGTTTCTCAATACTTACTTCTGTGATTCAATTAAATTGGATGAATGATACCTAAGAACCATAGGCATAATATCTAGGTTTTTTATCTCTAAATCCTTAAGCAGGCAAATTAAACCCAACTTGTCCTACATCAATGAGTATCAATCAAAGAAATGGACCAAATAAATATCCTGCTAAGTTTATTCACAAGATTATGAGTCAATATTCATCCAGTAGATAGATGGATAAATGAAATAATGAAAATTCTAGTCGATTCAGATCATAAATTCCTTTTATTTTTCGAGACAAAGAATCATAACTTTCTTAGATGCCCACCATACTATCTAAGAAGTTAGGGTGGCATGACAGGTGCAAATCTTGAACGCTGCAATGAGAATCAGTCAAAGAACGGGATCAAACAAGCATCCCTTACTTAAAATTTAAGTGTACACCTCAGAGCATTTTTTCTATCTTAAAAATCTAAAACATTGCAATGAGCATCAGTCAAAGAAGTGGATCAGATAAGCATCCCTTGCTTAACACTTACGTATATACCTCAGAGCATTTTTTCTATCTTAAGAATTCAAAATAATTGCTTCAAGCATTTTTAGTTGCATCTTATCACTCTTATGTTATCAATAATAGATTATCATTCCATCCAACCTCCTCTGTTGCTTCGGGATAGCCTAGGATGACTTTTCTGGTCTCTTTGGCTAAAAGACATTGGGTCATTGTCTATTATAGTTTTCTGTTATCTTTTTTCTTTTATATTGCAGGATTCTTATTTCTTTTCTTCTCTTCTCTTTCTAATAATATTTCCTTGTTAACAAGAAATATAAATAAATAACAGATCTACTAGAGCTAACAGCTTATCATAATTATTAAGTATTATCCACATATGTAACAAGAAGCAAGAGACTTTCCTGAATTACAAACTTACAGATTCCTAAAAGGAACAACAGAATATCTAAAGTACAGATATATGCTTAAATTTTGAAATGGGTTTCTAAAGTTAATGTTCATGAATATAATATTCCAATAATAATTACATCATATAGGTCAACTCTAGAAATTCCCATCCAAGTACTAAATGGAAGTTCATTTCTTTTTTTGTTTTCTGAAGAACTCAGAATATCCACTTCTGATGCTGTTAAATCAACAAAAATCTAATAAAAATAAAAAAGGAACTCAATTCGTGTACTTGGTTTATCACATCAGATGTACCAAGAGAACAATAAATTAGATCGAGGAAAAAGTAGAACAATTGGATTTGGACCTAATCCTGATAATGTTGTCAACCCCAAAAAAAATCGTACAGTAAGGTCAATCTGGAACCATCAAGAGAAACACAGGGAAAAAAAATTTAGAACCAATATAACCTTCATCAAATCGCAGTCAATCCTGAAATTTCACAGATGTAATCGAATTTTAACTTAATGAAGATTGCAGAGATCTAATAGTTACCATGACTTGATCCTAGAAACTCCCCACCCAAAACTAGAAAACAATCTCTTGTTTGTTTTATAAGGAAGCTGATCCAAGCAAACCCCAAATTCAAAATCTTAAATCTAATTCTCAATCTTTTACTTTTCCACATCAATAACTGTATATAAAAAAGAAAAAGCTTAGGCAGATTAATTGAAGTAAATGAGTAAGAGAAGGCTAGCTTCATTTTTTAAATAAAAAACTAGGATTCAAATTAATCAAATCACAGTTTCTTTTTTAAACTTTTCCTCAACCAAACATAACAAATTAAAAACCTAGTTTAGTTCAAGTGAAACTCGCAAGGAAAAAGAAGAGGAAACTAAAACCTGCAGAGCATGCAATATTTCTTCATTTGTTATAAATAAACTCAAAATTACGTTACCTGGGTGGCCGTATGATAAAGTTTACAAGCTGCTCCATTGATTCCTACAATAAAGATGGTCGCCCTTGTATTTCTGATTTCTCTGAGCTGTTTCTTGGGTTCTTTATCAAATATAGTACAATAACAGACTGTTTTTCGGGAATTTAAGAATAGAGGAAGAAAAATCAGCAGAGAAGAAAGGAAAGGAAAAGAAGAAGAAAGGAGAGTTACAACGGTAGACGAGAAGAAGAAAGTAATTTTCAGAGGAAGAGGGAGGAGGGGGAGAACGTGGAGGAAGAAGGAAAGAACCGGCCTTTTGTATCGTTGTCGCAGTTGTTTTATTTTTTTTGTTTTTCTCGTCGCTGTTTTTTTCGCATTTGTGTTTTTCTTTTCTGGCAAAAATATAAAATCATTTTTATATATTCTTAAAATTTTAATTACAATTTTACCCTTCTATTTAGCTTAATAATTTCAGGTTGATCTAACCTTTTTTTTTTAACTGTAATTCTTTAATAAATTATATAGGAAACTTTATTTTTAATTATAATCATAGTTTAATTAATGGAATATTATTATTTTCTTATTTATTATTATAAAAACTATTTTTCATCTTGCTTACCTGTTATAATTTTAATAAAATTTTAATTTCAAACCAAACTAGATTCATACTAATTATATAATTATCAGAATTAATGTTGATTTTAATAATATATATATACATATATATTTGTAGGATAACTCAAGTATTAATTTCAGAAAATCATTGACCGGTTATATTTAAATTTTGAAAAAAATTTATATACTTACTTTTTAAGTTTTATTATTATATGTAAAATCATTAACTTTTTAGCTATTATCTTGTATTCTTAATTTTAATTTTTATTAAAAAATTAATTTAAAAGTTATGATAATATAATGTTAATTTTATGATAAAAAATTAAATTAAAAATAATG